TCAAGGTAAGTCTCGCATCCAAATAAATGCAAAAAATATGGTCACTATCAATTAGAATATAAATCACATATTCAATCATAATTGTAAAATATATTGTTATATAATAGAGAGTGTCATGCAAAGAGATCAGAATATAGAGAAAATCAGGCCGAGGTAGCCCAAAATGATAGTGTAGAGACTTTATTGATGGTAGCTCATGATAGTAATGGAAGTAATAATAGTTAGTGGTTATTAGACTCTGGTTGTAGCAATTACCTGAGTGAAAATAAGACAGTATTCTCTAAATTAGATGAATCGTTTCGCTCTTCGGTGAAATTAGGCGACAATCACGAAGTCCCAATTTTAAGGAAAGGGAGAATTGTTATTAAACTAAACAATTGGTCTGCATATCATATTTTTAAAGTTTATTATGCTCCTATTATCTGTCAAAATCTATTAAACGTAGGATAACTAGCAGAAAAAGGTTATAACTTGTGTTTCAATAAATACAGGTGTACTGTAAGTGACACAAAGAAAGAAATGATTCTGAAGACAAAGATGTCATCAAATTATTTATTTCTAAAACAGATTAATTATGGTAATGCTTCTCATTGTAATTTTGTGATTGTTGATGATAATTGGATATGGCATATACGGTTTAGTCACTTGAATTTTGGGAGCACCAAATTTCTTGAAATAAGGAGTGGGTTTCAACCTTACTAATTATTCAAGTTCACGACTAATGAACATTGTGTCTTGGGAAAGAAGCACATAGATCCATTTCTTATAAAGTAGGCATGGAGAGCCAAAAGCCCACTTAAGCTTGTGCATTTAGACATATGCTACATGGATGTTTCTTCTCATGGAGGTAATAAGTACTTCATTACTTTCATTGATGATTTTAGTAGAAAGACATTGATATATTTTTTGAAACATAAATAAGATGCATGTGGAGAAGTTAAGAAATTTGTGACATATACTGAAAGACAAAATGGTTATTCTCTTAAAACTTTACGAACTGATAGAGGCATATAATATATTGTTTATGATGACTTCTTAAGAAAACATGGAATTAAACATCAGTTAATGGCTAGGTACACTCCTTAACAAAACGAAGTGGCAGAAAGAAAAAATAGAACTATTATGGACATGGTGAGAAGCATGATGCATTATAAAAAGATACCTAAGAGTTTTTGGGCAGAACTTGTTGCTTGTGGAGTTTATATTTTAAACAGACGTCCTGTTAAAAGTGTTCGTGATAAAACACCTCAAGAAGTATGGAGCAGACAAAAGCCTAATTTAAGCCATATTAGGGTGTTTGGTCATATCACTTATTCATATGTACCAGATGATTTAAGGAAGAAACTTGATGACAAAGTGGACAAATGCATCTTCATTAGTTACAGCATGGAAAAGAGGGCTATAAGCTGTATAATCCAGAGACCTAAAAGGTAATCATTAGACGTGATGTTACTTTTGATGAAGATGGAGAATAAAAAATGGTCCGAAGAAGAAAAGAGATCATTATTAGTTCTAGTGTTCATAAACAACAAAAAAAAAACAAGTAATCACACTAGTCAATATTGGTAATAAGTTTAAGATCTATTTTGTCCTTTATTATAACGAGTACATTAAAACATTGATCAGCGCAATTGAATGAAAGAAGAAAGAAATTTTTTTTATGTCATTCATTAGTAAGTTATAATTGACATGAAACGTAATTAGTTATCTATTGGGATTTTATAGTTAAACTATATCTTAAGTTTAACCCAGAGAAACAATGACAGTATAAGATATTACATTATTTTTTAGTAAGTTCTTAACAGTAATTGTACACTTCATGTTATCCGCTAATTAAAGAGTATTGCTGGATACTAACTTTGATTATTAAATTGGTTTGACTAATTTACTACCAGTTTAGTATTGAACTTATAAGATTGCACACTTACAAGTATTCTACCATTTACTAAATAAATTAATTATTTTAATTATTTAATAATTGAATTAGATAATTTAATTTAGTCAAATAAATAAATTTTTTAATTTAAATAGAATATTATTATATTTTTTACTAGTACAGAAGATATAATTAATATTATAGACAAATTTAATTTTTTAATTTTAGAATTAGAAAATTAATATTTATATTTTTTTTATTATTATATTATTAATGTAATAATATAATATTTGTGCCTAATATAATAATGAAGATTATTGTAAAATCTAATTTGGAATTAAATTTATTTATAAAATATTTTATTGATAAAATAAAATTAATAATAATAAAAGGTAGCCGGACAATTAGGTTATAAATCTAATTGTGCTGCCACCATTAAATATATATATATATATATATAGGGGGGGCTGAAAAAAAAAGTAAGAAAATGCTGGTAAAAAGTGGCAGCTGCACATCCGCAGGCATTAGACAAAAGAAGCAGCCTGCACATCCTGGTAAAAAAAGGTAGCCACACATCTGCAAACACTGGCAAAAAGGCCACAAGTGGTGGTAAAAGACAGTCGCATGTGTTGCTAAAAAAGGCAGTCGCATGTGCTGGTAAAAAGATAGCCACAGATGTTGCTAAAATATAGTCGCACGTTAAAACAAGAAAAAAATTTAGGCAATTTTGTTCTTTCAATTTGTTAAAATTTTGTGAGTAAATCTTAACACAAATATCATTTGATTTGTTTGCGTGTTCCACTGATCAAAGAGTTTATTAACAAATGTCAATCTTTGCGTGGATACGCACAGAATATTCGTATTTTTGAAAAAATTTAATTTGAGAATCCACTACCATATATGTTTTAAATTTAATCTTTAACATGGAATGTAACTTTCAAGATACAAATAGATTATATTAAATTATTTTATTTCTTCTGCTGCATGTTGTGAACACATTACGATTTACATGCAACAGCTCGATGGTTTCTGCTCTGATGTACGGCTGCTTGGATTTGACAATTAGTGCAGCGGTATTTCCTTTTGCATTTTGGCTTTACACACAATCTAAGGTTTCTAGATGGCATCTTCGTCTTTTGCCGAGTATGATTTAGAAAAGTTTGATAATGGAACAAATTTAAGTCTATAAAAGATTAAAATGAAATTTTATAAGATTTATAGAAGGTAATTAAGTAGAAATTTCCAAAAGGAATGCAAGAAATTGACAAGTCAAACTTAAAAGAGAGAGTTTTGAGTGTTATTTTTATGAGTGTAATTGATAATATTCTGCGTGGAATTGGTATCAGCAGTGTCCAAAAAATTAAACGAGTTGTACTCTAAAAAATTGCTAACAAACTGTATTTCTTTAAAGAAAATGTTATATAATTTGAGAATGAATAAATATACGCTCATTAAGGAAAATCTTGATAAATTTAATTTAATTATAATATATCTTAATAATATAAATATAAAAATTGATCATGAGGATCGTATTTTAGTTGTATTATAATTCTCACATGAAACTTTAGATGAATTTTTAAATATTAATTCACTAATTAACTTTAATTAATTAAGTAAAAGTTCATTTTCTTTTTTTTTAAGTTAAATATGAGCTCAAACTTCATGTATTTAGAGTTTTGATAAGCTTTAGTTCTTCTCTCAAAACTAATTTGGAGTGTTTACAATTTTTTTTAATAATTTATCCTTACTTTTATCTAACATTTTATATTTTTCACAAAAAATTAATTGGTCAATACTTATGACCTTAGAAAAGTTTTATATTCTAAAAGATTATAAAACTTAGTTTAAAATTTTTGTTGGATATATTATGAAATTTACAGCATTAAAAAAAAAAATTCATTGCTAAGATATCATCAATGAGAGATTTATAAAGATCAATTTATTAATTTCTTTTTTCTTTGTTAATTTTTATTTTTTAACATTAAAAGAAATAAAAGGGGAGTTTATCATGAACATTTATAATTTAATTGGGAAACGATATTAATAAAAATATATTATGTTTTATGAAATTTTAAAGTTTAATAAAACATTTATAATTTAAATTTTCTTCTTTAAATTTTAAAATTGGCTTTTTGTGTTTTCTTAATTGAAAATACAAAA